AAAAAAATAATTCGTCGGTCGCAAACTTTTGAGTGACGTTTTTCTTTGCTTTGTTCTGGACTAGTGGCGGTGGAGCTCCAGCTGAAATTTAGTCCCTAAAGTGCTACTCTCATTCCTGTCCGGGCGTCCTACCTACGACCCGTAATGGCCTTCGTAATGTCGAATGTTTGCAAGAACTACGAGCACCCACTATGTTTTTTTTCATTTTGGCGTTGAAATCGCTTTTTAATTATCGTTTCGAAAAACAAGCAATCTATGAGCTCGTACCTCTGGCGGGGTTTTAGGGCCTTTCCGTTTCGGGGGTTCTACATGAACCTGGTGTCCGAAAAGGTCGCCTGATTCTCTCATAGTCATGTCAAAAGTCTGAAAATGTAATGTTTATGTTCTCAAAAAAGTTTGTCTAATGTGTTCGCTTTGATGTGCGAGCTTTATGCAAATTTATGTTTGCTGCTATTGCGAGAGTCTGCTATTGGTGGATCCAAGCATCCACCAATAGCAGACACACAGCAACATTGATAGACATAAACTGATCGTTTTATGCAATATTTGTCACAATGCGCATAAATAAGAACGCCCTACCGATATCCGGCACCCAACTGAGATTCGTAAACCTCTAGTAACCTATCCTACCTACGGAAAATTAAATAAATTCGGTATCGATACTGGTTCTTTTTTGGCGATATTTGACATGGCTCTGTAAATATGGCCCAGCATACTAGTCGACATGAATTAAGCTGATATCGGCGCCATTATCGATTTATCAGACCAAATGACGCACGTCGCAAGGGCACCTCTATGGTTGCGCTGTTATTCAAAACTCGCGCATTGCATTTCAGATTTTGCAGCCTGCGTCTCTGCAGCGAGTGATTCGCATACGCGTGCCGCCCTCGCCGCACCCAATCGCTCGCAGTCGCTTTCTGTGAAAGAGAGGTTTTGAATTCACCCACCGAAAAACTACAGAGATGCTTTTTACATTTATTTAGGTTACTGCCCGTTTTCCGAATGATAGCTGTCTGTGGAATTCAGGCAATTTCTGTTGGCAAAAATATACCAAAATTTCTTGCACTGAACCACATGTCGGTATAGGATAAACGTTTTCGAAGCCGCGAGGCGACCGAAATATGACGCACCACTACGGATACCGTTGGTAGGTGGTTCTGTCACAACCGTCTTTACTGTGGTACCAGCTTTGACATTTTGTAGCCAACTGTTCTGTTCTATTCTGATTGTCATGAATCTCACACCTGTCATATCTTTTGCGAAGTTGCAATGCTCTTTCGTTATCCAACTTGATCTTAGCTGTTCTGCCTTATTTTCTTGTAAGCATAAAAGTGAAGAACAAGCACTGTGGGAAGAAAGTATAGAAATACCGTTACTGGCAAAATGTCAGAGTTGGTGCTACGGTAAGGGCATCCGTGCAGCACCAATTGGGGTGTGTGCAGTAGGATCGAAATTGTCGCGTCGCGGAGAGACGCTGCGCGCGAAGGAATGTAGCAGAATGCAGCAGCAAGTAAGAAATACAGGAACAAAAAATTTGGCATTAGAATCACGCCAAAACTAATAATCGCATATTGATTGAGCTGTATGAAGAACTTCTATAACGAGGCGAATGATCCGCGACTGCGGCGCGCGGCGAATCAATCACACAAAACCGATCCTACTGCCCGTCTCCCAAACAATTGTGGTCTTCGCGCTGTGCAACGGTTGAACAACACGCTTTGGAACATTTTAGCATTTTCTAAGATTTATTTTCCCTGATTGATCACCTTGAGGAGCCATGAACGAGGTGGTTAAGGAGCCGTCAGTGAGGTGGGGTCGTAATGTGACCTGTCAGTGGATGGACTGTTTAGAAATTTTACTAAAACTGTTTTTAAAAGGAAGGGTTGCCCAGACTGATGCATACATTGGAGCATCGCGTCCCCTACGTGAACTGTGCGAACCGATCTCTGTTCTGATTTAAAGCGACAATGATCGAAAATCAGGGACGTCGCGGTATCCCGCCGAGTTTTCAGACCAGATGGGGTTTGTTATCATATGTCAAACATTATTTTGAATGAAGCTGTCCATCATAATGTGTTTTCTTTGGCACCTATCGTGATTTCCCCTACAAAGGGCAGAACTGTTAATAACCCAGAAAATGGTACCAAAGTAGTAATGGTACAATATAGGGTCGAAGAGAAGAGAGTGGAACTTTCCCTTTCATTAGTTCTTTTACATCGTACCGTTCGGCTAGTACCATAATTTTTGCTAACTTCCAGTATTGGCCTAGCGGAGGTAGCTGGCCGACTATGAACGCACCTAGCAATCAGTAATGAGATAGTTTCTTCTCGATGCAGTTCTCTACGGCTCCAATGATTTGTAATAATCAATGCGTATGATGTCAATGCCCCATTTAGAGACTATTTCATCAACCTATAACCGTGATAACCATTATACTTGGGACAGCACGAATATCCCATTCAATTTGGAGGATAGAAGCACTGCTGGCCATCCTCCGAGATGAACAGAGCATTCAAACGTCATCACAATCCGAATGGAAGCCGAATGCGTGGCGCACCTCACAGATAGAAAAGATCAATGTCAGAAGGTTTAAAGTCTTCAACACACACTCTAGTGGAGCATCTGAGCATTCCTTTGGAAACTGCTACGAAAGGAATCTATAAAGGAGATAGAGGAATAAGAAAGACCACAAAATGCTTTTATTTTCAGAACCAGTCTGAACATGGGAGTAAAGGGGCCGGGTTTACAGGAAGCCAATTTGAGGCTCATTTGTGACCAAGGAATTATCAGTCATAGAAGATAACTCATTGGCTTATTACATCCTTGGTTGTGTGCTTACCAGTTGGTCAGTTTACTATCCTAATCACTCAGCTTACCATGAGGGACAGGCGTGCCATCTAGGCTTTCACTCATGTAGGAAAAGTGTGTGGCAACAACATTTTCAATAAGGTCAGTAATAATCCTTTTCGGAGGCAAGATATTTAAGTTTCGAGGCTCTTTGAGCTACGGAAAGAAAGCGAACTCCCTATACAGATCTGTTCCAAGATTCCAGCTTTGTCTTTGCAAGTCACCATCAATTGTGGTCATTTGGGAAATACTCGATTAGAGACGTCTCCTGTAAAAACGGTTCAACTTCATGGCATCTTTTGCATTTCTGCCTTTCGCTTATAGAAACGCCTTGAAACAGTTGGCTTTTGATTGGGGTAACGAATTTGTATTTGAGTGCTCGAATTTATGGATATATAGTTCCGATTCGGATCAAAGGATTAAGGATAAAGACTTTGGGCGTTGATCATTCCTGTCGGAGGAACTTGCGCCCGCTTCAACTTCCATTCAGAATCGTAGTGACATGTTGATGTGCCCTATACAGTGAATTGCGGTGACTGACCGATGTACAAGTCAGGGCTTTTATCCTCCCAGGCGAGTCTGGTAACAGTTAAACGTCCCCGGGGGATGGAAAGCTTAGTTGGTCTAGCCGAGTGTCAATCCAGCATTTGATTCCGTGACTATGCTTGGGGATAGTACACCATTTGCCACTGCACTACCTCTGAGAAGCGGAGAATTCTCCTCCGAACCCTTTCATTCCGAGGTTGAGGGGAATACGAATCAACAGAAGTTCGCCGATAGCTTCTAGAGTGACAGGAAAAATGCCCCTACTTGCACAACAGATTCCAAAAATACGGGAAATTCAAGGTTTTTCCAAAGCCCCGCCTACAGATAGCTCCCCTTGAGCATCCTGCTACCTATATCTGGTGGGCGAAAAAATGTGTAGATTGACAAGTTGTTACTTTACCTGCTACACCTTACCCATTCCCAGTCAGGGTGAGCTGTGCCCTTGTTCCTACAGGTAAGAATGTAAGGAACCGATCCATCAAATTCGCTGCAAGGGGTCCTTTGCGCGCCGCGTCAGCACGTTTCCCGCCCGTTTTCCCTTTCCTCTAGGTCGTCCTGATTTTTTAGTTCTTTTTTTTTATAGAACTTGACCCACTCACTTAAGCATAGGAAAGGACCAAATTTCCGTGCATGACGTTCTTCAAAGTGCCATTTTTCCCAACGATGACTTCCGGGAATCTTTGAACTTCGAGAAAGAATTCCCGAAGATGCTCTTCGATCAGAAAACCGA